TTTTTTTTTTGATGAAACAGTCAGCCGCATACGAAAGTGAAGTGTTCATTTGATGTATGGTACCTTAGAATGATGTCACATTTTGGATTAAACTTCGATTACGCAACGACTTGCAAGACCCTTTAATTTTCCTCCAATCATTCGGAATATCCTATCAAATTCAGAGCAGAGGACCCCTTCGCGACTGCAGACGCAGATAAACGCGAACGAATCTTTTAGTATTTTACACTCACTTTTTAGTTGCAACGGCAGACATCAGCCCGGATATACTTTGATCTAGCCAGTGCTGAAGAAGCATCTCTCCGCCTTCCGCTGATATGGTGATCGTTGTTTTCTGTCCATCGTAATGCATTGTGTTCGGTATAGGGTGATCGCCCTCGTCAGAAACATCCGCCACATCTTCATCCGTGACCACATCAATCTGAAATTCAAAAATAGAGATAAACCCCTCTTTGCCACAGCTTACCATGCGCAAGTGGATGAGTGCAAATTCCCTCAGTTTCTTAACAACTGCCGTAGCAGCTTACTAGGGAAGATTCGATTTTAAGAATGCTGAGCTACCACCACCTGTTTTATAGGAACTCGTTAACTATGCACAAAGTAGAAGCGTCTGCTTGTTTGTATGTTTGTCTATATACTTGTTTGTGGGCAAGACTCTGCATAATCATGAAAATTGAAAATGAAGAAGAATATGAAAGATTACGTCTTGGGGCACTAATCAATTCCGTCTGAGGGATGCACCCACGCACTCGAGGTCTATTTAAAATCATAGTAACGTATTGAATGTGTACGTGGCATATACAATGACTTGTGTCGCCAACCGATGTATTATACAAGTCAGCCTTCTTATCCTCCCAGACGAGTCTGGTACCAGCTAACCAACCCCGGAGGGATGGAAGGCTTGGTTAGCCTAGGTAGAGCCGAGCCGGGACGGGACTCGGACCCGTGACCATGCCTGTGGGAAGTGGAAAAAAGCCTAAAAGGGAGATCAGTGTGATGTTATCGATAGAGCTTATGCAGTATAGATCAACCCACAGGTGTCTACTACGCCCTGATAATTTTAATCAATCGATAACTATCAATATCAATTTGTGGCATATTTGAACATGCAATCATTACAATGGGAACTTACAGGGCGCACTCTGCACTACGATATCCATGGATAACGATGGCTTTCTACCGTCTACTGTACGGCGAACTGTGAATTAGAGGCACGATTACAAATCCTTCTCCGAATCGTACATACAAAGACTATGATAGAATAAAGTTATTAATAGCTATTGCCAAAATCCTGGAGGTGCTTGAACCTATTCCCAAATATTACAGTTGTTGGAAAGCATTTAAAAGCACTCACGTCACTATCATTCCGCTTTTCATAAAGTTCCTCCACAGCAGTGGCATTCAAAAATGGCCACATATTCCTGGGAATATGATTCTCCTCCAAATATTTCTTCTGATCTTGACTGAATTCCATTTTGCGAATCGGCTTGTATTTGGCTAGCTCCTCGTTCTTCAAGAACGATACATGTGTTCCATTTGGAACGAGCGCC